ATTATTATATTATAAATTTGTAGAGTACACATGAGTATACGTAGCCACTACAAATAAGAAGATGAAATTCTAGAATGTTTAATTATTTTCGAGTAAATGAGGCGTAAGAACAATATAGTGCTAAGACAAAACAACGGACCTTCTGTAGCATGATTTTTCGTTCGATCATTAAATCGTTTTGCTCAGACGACTTGGTATTAATGGTAAATTGATCAATCTTCAGCTCTTGACTTATCCGCTGAGGAAGGTATTCGGCGCAAGTTTCAATTTTGTCATTAAGTTGAACGATTATGTCAGTCTTGTAATCTAACACTAAACGCCAAAAATCAACAGTTGTGTCGGCCGGCTCAGACATTGGGGCCTGGGTAACAATAAACGCGTTACGCTTGTTGTAACCCTGAAACACAAAACAAAACGGATAATTATCAGGAGCGTAGGGGGTGGGGGAGGGGACTTAGCGTCACGCTTGCTGTAGCCTTGAAAGACAATAAACCTGGATGCATTTTGCATTTTAGATTCACGTGAATTGATAATGTATTTTTCATATACTCATATCGGGTTATTAGTATTGGATAGTAGTAGGACTAACGTATGCCTTATGTCGACCACAAGTAGCGCCTATGCTGCTAGTTAACGATCATAATACACTAATGGTCTAACTGCGTCGTATGCATGTTCAATTCAGTTGTAATACCATGATAACTTTTTTCTAATTGCTCAAATTTATCTACTGATAACATCATAACAGTCATTAAGACGTCGACTAGATGAAAGAAGAATATTTGGTGATTCTATTGATTCATGTTATAATATTACCATAGGCGGATACGATGCTATGTAGGATGTTTAAATTAAGTAATCAAATTGTAAATATGATCATCATTAAGTTGCGAGGAATCGCCACTGCGGTAGTGCGTCACGCTTGAGTGCGTACGGGTTAATAGCTTGTTGATCATTCACGTTTTGCATGTATAACACTGACAGTTTATATGATTGTTTAATGATTTTTATCTTTGTCGCTATATGATTGGTGAATGTTTTCTTTTTCTTTTGTGTTTTACTTAGCAGAACGAGTTCACCGGGCTATGTACCCACACTAAGTTTACGTTTGTACACGGTATCAATATTCATAGGTTTGAGATGAATAAATGCCCACTATTTTCAGTAAACCTAAGGGTACGAAGATGTTGTTATTGGAGTGTTAGCACATGACACAAAACAACTTTTAAGAGGCGCTAAAGCAGCGACCGCAACATTAGTTCAGGGGCGGATCCAGATTTTTCATTTTCAGAATAGGTTAGCAAAGAGCACATGATATTGATATGCGAGTGGACGCTAATGAGGCGGTCCCTCTGGGAGGCTTAAACTGTATTATACAATGGAAGAGTTAATTTACACTCTCCCCCGATTAAAGAAAATAATACTTTACTAAACTTTACAGAGAGTTACTTGATTGTAAAAAAATGCTTTTTATTTCGACTTAAATTATTACTGTACGCGCAACATTCGAGATTTTATGACACAGTGTGCGTGCAGGGTTTAAAACAGGATCACCCATTACTCTCTAAATAATAAAAGGAGGATGGCTTACATTTCATATATAATATTTTTTCACATTACAATTACTAGTATATCGGGATATTTTTTTTTAAATTTTTGTTAATTTGAGGGTGGGGTTCAGGACCGTCTTTACCCTTTGCTGCGCCATACACTGTTTAGGAAACTATTTGAACAAAATGTGATGAAAAGTGTGCGTAAAAGAATTTTCTGTCTAATCGACAACCAGTGAAGTTGCCGGATTTGTGAACTAGCAATATCAGTAGGCCTACATCCACCTCTCTAAGCTGTAAATTTAGACATTGGTAAATACTACCGTACTCTCTAACTGTAAGAGTGCTCCTGAACTCACTCCAATAGTGTGAAATATTAATAGTAAAATTTCACACTGTCACTTTATTTAGAGATTATTATTCTATGTTACAAATAGTACCCTATGAAGATTAATTCTCAATCTTGTGCATTTAGATAGGAAACTTAAATAAAATATATGTAGTTAGGTAATGAATTAAGATTTTAAAAAAAGTCACTTACGTCACAGAATGTAGCGTTAATGTAATCATTTCCGTTAGCGCATGGTGTCATCAAGAGAGGACGAGCACTATTTACTTTATAATATAAAATAAATCGAGATACAAGTTTAAACTATATTGAAGGACTAAACTTTTAACTGTCTTTTTGAATATATATATTTTACATGTTTTAATGTA